GTTACAGATTCACTAGCGTTTGTAGCCAATGGCAATGCAATAAACGAGATGAAGAATGTCGGAATGCCTGTTGCATCTGAAAAATCATCAACGGCATCAACCAGTGGATCAGCAAATGCAGCAGCAATAAGAGTTCCCAGCAACAGCATTAGCACTGCTTTGAAGGAGGTCCACCTAGGATTTTCAACATCACCAATAACCTTATCACTTTGTTTCCCATCAGCACCCAACACCAACGGGTCATGTTCGCTCTTAGTTTGCTGCACATGAATTTACAAGATGTCAGCCGATAAAAGGAAACTTCCCAGATAATCATCAGTTTTCAACTTACCAGCTGAAAATCTTGTATAAACTTGGATGTTCGAGGCCCAGGATCAGTTGACGAGCCCCCAACTCGCTTTGCCTCATTAAGCCACTTTGAAATACCAGCTATGAACTCAGCCTCACTAATAACGTGGTCATTGGAGGTATCAAAATCTTTAATAATCTTTTTTACAACATCATCTGTATCCAAGTCTATCTCCTCAAACCGGATTCCTATAACAAGTGCTTTTAGTTCAGTATCTGAAAGGTAACCATCATGATTCTGATCAATTGCATGGAACAACCTGTAATAAAGTTGATTAGCAAAATTAGTAACTTCTTTACTTGCAGGGGGAAATCATAGAAAGAATGTCCTTTTATGCAAAAGTGCAAAACTGACTTTTTTATGACATCTACATCAGGTTCCCCCTCATCACTCAGTAGCCTTCCTAGAGCACGTTGTTTCAAGTTTTGTAGGATTCCCGATATCACAAGTTTATCTATTCGTCTCTGCTGGATCCAAGGCTGAAAGACCTGCACAATGCATGCATAACAAAGGATGAAAGAAGGGTCAAGCATTGTCAATAATTTAAGTGGTTCAGTAGTAATCTTTTTTAAATGGAAGTAAGAAGTTCTAAGTTCGAGTCGTACAACATGCACATGGGATGAGTTAAGGTATTTAAGAGAGTCGCTTCCTATTATGCAACCCAAGATAAAAAAAAAAAAAAAAGTAAATAAATAAATGGCCAAAAATCAATGAAAAAGGCTTAAAGGAACTTAACCAGTGAAATAGAAATAGAAGAAAAATCCAAGAAGACTACCCACATAATACAAAATAACTGCGAACATCTTATAGATCATTGTCATAAACTTCTTTAACAAAGGAATCACAAAGTCTAAAAGCCCTACTCACCTCATACACCAATCACAAAAG